TGTTTCTTAAGAATTTAGATAATTTTTCAAGACGTTAGATTTACAGCAACTTATGCGTTTTTCAAGATGTTAGAGATTACAGCAATTTGTTTTGAATCATAATAAGAGCATACAATAGAAGTAATAACGGTTTTGTAAAGAATTGAAATATAATTGCTTATTGTTTGAAATTTCTTTTTTGACAGTGGTACCTGTTAAAAAATGTATTTTGCAGACTTTCATGCTGCTTAGAAAATTACCGAGAAATTAGATAATCATAATTCTTCATTTTTCACGAATAAGTAGATCAGTGATTAAAAAACCTTTTATCGTCAATGGTTCAGCGCAATATCAGAAAATAAACTTTAGAAACTTTCATCTTATGATTTTTTTTTCATTTTCCGATTCACAATAGGATCAATTTATACGGATTTTCGAGTTTTGCGGATTTTCTTTGAAGCTAAGTGAGTGTGGCATAAAAGTACTTTAGGGAGAGCTTGGGATCGAAAAGCAGATAATTTAAATCTGGGCACCAACTGCAGCACTGTTGCGTTGCTGATTCAGTCCTGCTGCAGTGAATTTTATCTCAGTAACTTCTTTGTTCGACGTTCAAAGAAAGTGCGGAATATTTATGCTTGGGTGCTTTTTTTATTCAACCAATTTTTGACTTTTTAACTAAGTTTTTAAGTTTTAACTCTGAAGTTTTTGTAACTTGAGCTAAAGAAAGCAATATCTTTGATATGGTATAAAAATTTCATCAAAATGCTGTTTCCTGAGCTCAAATTTAAAAAATTTCTCCTGTGATCTTTTTTTTCTTAAGCTATATGGGTTTGAAATTTTTTAGTTGGGCCACTTTTGGATAATTAACTCGCGATACATTCAGTTTTTGTAACACGCGTTTGTAAAACACGCAAATTGAAGCAAATCATTTGGGTCTATAAATAAGATGAAAGTTGTTAATTTCATCCTTTTGTAGTTAACATTAACGTGTGTTAGAATACCTTAAAAAGTGAAAGTAAAAATTCTATATAAGTTTTTTTTTTCAATTAATTTGCCGTTTTTTCAATAAAAAATTAATAATTTGGCTTTAAATTGCAGTCGAAACGTTCAGCGTTTCGCCCTTAGTCATTTTTGTCGGAAGTTCATAGAAATTGTTTAATAGGTATTGTTGTCTTGAGCTCAAATTTCAAAATATATTTCATCTATGATCTTTTTGACTTGTTTCGATCTATTAACGTGTAAGCAGAGATTTCAGCCGTCTTGAAAATAGTTCCAAATTGGTTGACGGAAGGTTTTTTGCCACAATTGCTATGTTAGTTGGAGCAAAATCTATCACTTTGCACCTTATATGGCGTGTTATATGGCGAAAAACAATCGAATTTTAAAATATAATAATATTTTATTTTCCTTACTCTTAACTTTTCATGTTTTTACTGCTCCATAGAGCCTAAAAGGCAGCGGAATATTCAGGGATTCAGGGCTTCGCCTTGATATGAGCAATCTTGTTTAAATTTTTATATCGGATTTCATCTCTAATCGTAGTTGAAGCGGAGCTATCCAAAGTGTAAGGCAGTACAGGAGTTTTGCTGCAACATTGCTGAAGCAGCACTAGTTTACACTGTGTGACCAAAGCGGGTCTACTCTTAATAAATCACAACATGACTGCTCGTATCAGGGCGAAGCCGTGAATGATCATACTGCCTTTTATAAGTTGACTTTCTGAGGCCACCGAAAACACACGAAAAGCTCAGAAAAAAAAACGCAAACCAAACATGACAAATTGATTTTTTTTTGCCTTTTAAGTAAACTAACAACAGTTTAACAACGCGGGCGCAGTAAAAAAATCTTACATATAGTCCAGTTTTTTGGTGAATAAAAAAACCCACAATGAAAAAATTCAATCAAATAGATCAGTTCATCATTTAAAAATGATTTAATAAAACCAAAACTCATCATCGGATTATCGGATTATAGAGGGAATACTTTGTTGTGATTGCTGATTGGCGAAATTCTCATATTGACTATTTTTGACGCTGAAACCTTGTTTAAATGCTTATCGAAAATTGAATCCAGTTGACAGGGCTTCTGCTTGATGTTTTTTATCCGAAAACCATCTATTCTTTTATTTTGAATCGCTGAAATTTTGAGAAAGAAATCCAACCAACAAATGCTTGACCAAAATTTGAATCAGTTACACGGCAAACCTTAAAACTCAATTTATCCGTCCTTGAGACCAAGTTTCCAACAGTTCGATATTTCAAGTCTTTTGTTTGCATTTTACTGCTTTTAAAATAAAGTTAACGCCTAGTGGCAGTCAGTCACAATTCAAAAATTGTCCAATTTGCTGTTTTAAATTCTCGTATCTTTTTCCGGAAATTTTTTTTAAATGATAACTTTTTAGTTTTCCCCGTGTAAAAACGAATGATATAAACAATAAATTGCTATCGAGGTTTGTGTTTTGAAATGCATAAAGCGAGAATGGAATTTACACAACAATATGGCTAATTAAATCAGACCCAAATTTTGAATACATTTAGAGTTATTTTACGCTAAATCAAATCAATTTTTCCTGATCTTACCATTGTTACTACTCTAAGTTTTCAAACCGTTGGGTGCTTCAAATAATTTCTCTTTCTTGAAACCACATTTTGTAGGCACATAAATGCGCAAACAGTATTATAGTTCATACACTCATGTAGCAATCCGAAAAAAAGTTTAGGAAAACGTTTTCCTAATTTTCTTTAAAAAAGAAACGTTTGACAATAGCTGCTCAACTTTCAAAGTAAATTAAACAAAGCTACTTAGGCAAATTCAAACGGTCTTTTGAGATAATGAAGATAATTTATCCATTCCTTGCTAAAAACGAGTCTGGTGAGCAAAAAGTTTGAGAACAGGTACTCTGTTCTCAACTTTTCTAACCAGAATTCAAAAATTTAACCAATTAGTGACAAATTCATTTGAGGCACTGGGAGGTTTCTAACAACACTTATGAGCGGAAAAACTCATTTACTAGATTGAAATATATAAAAATAAATATAGATTTGATTTTTACAAATTTTAGCGAACCAATATTCTGATTGTTAATAAGAATTTAGATGATTGCATTTAAAAAATTGCGTTTTTCAAAACTTCAGATTTACAGCATTTTTATTTGTTTCAAAATAATAGCATACAATAGAAATAATGACGGTTTTGTATATTGTACAATTGATTTGAAAGATAACTGCTCCTTCTTTGAATTTTTTTGACTCTAGTACTCGTTTCACAATGTATTTTGCATATTTCTATGCTGCCTACAAAAGTACCGACAAATTCGGAAATAATATTTTTTCTTTATTACATGAAATGCTGTAAATTTTCTTCGGCGCTGACGACTCAGAGCAAATCAGTACTGCTCTTGCGTTTTCACACAACGTTAGTAAATTTATAACTGTAAAATTTGTCCAACAAAGGCAACCGTGAGCCATTTCTTCAAAAAACTCTTCAACGGTTATTTGTTTTTTCTATGAAATTCTGGATCATTGATTAAAAAATCTTTTATGATCAATGGTTCAGCGCAATATCAGAAGATAAAGTTTAGAAACTTCCATCTTATAAGCGTTTCATTTTCCAAAAAACCATGTGATCAATTTCAGAGGCGGATCTAAGGTTTTCTCGGAGACGGATGTTCAGAAAAGTTTCGAAAACTTTGTCGACCTTTCTTTAAGTCGATTAAATTGATTTTCCGATCTCTACCAAAGAATTACAAAGAAGACCCTGTTTTGTGTTTTGGCTTAAACTTCTGCGAGATTTTTTGTAAACTTCTGCGAGATCTTTTTGAGATTTTTTGTAAAAAGCATCCTCGCAACCGTCATATAAATTACAAAATGATAGATTTCACTCTTAGTACAAATCAGTGATGGCAAATAAGCTTCAACCAATTCGGAACGATTGCTAAGACGGATTAAATATCCGCTTACGAAAATGGCAATCTTTAAACCTCCATAACTTTACGAAAAAAAATCACAGGTAAGTTATCTTTTCAGATTTATACCCAGTAAACAATACCTTTTGAATGGTATAAAAAATGTCGTCTCCGTCAAAATGTCAAAACTTGTCTGAATTTGTCGAAAGCCGGAACAATAAGTTCACCTTTAATTAGTCACTGTGTTTTCTAATTCAGTGTTTTTGTGCTGAAACTTTGTTTTTTATTTCAGAGAATTGTGTGCGGAAAGTAATGCATTTGATTGGGAGTATTTTTTTCTGTCATAAAACTCAGTTCAATTCTCATTTCAAACAAATTGTAAATTTCGTTTCGCCCAAAACTCTCTTACGCATTTTCTCCGAGTTATAAATAGTTATGTTTACTCGAAGTGAAGCTAACATGTTGAATTTTATTGCATTTTTTTAAAATCTCAACCCATCTAGATCTTAGAATTCAAAAAGCATCATTACTCAAAGCGTTTTTTACAGAAATAATAATGTATGCGTTGAAAAAACAAAACTGACCATTTTTTAAATTAATTTAGTGCTCATCATAATTTGAAACGCATATTTTATTTTTGCACATTGCATGGAGGCTATCCTGAAAATTTTTCCAGTAACACTTTTTTCGGACTTGAATTGCAATTGTTTCAGATAGCAAATATGAAGTTACTGCAATCTTTCTGCGAATGGCAGATAATAACGAATGAAAAGGCTCAATAGTTTGTTTGTAGGATTAAAGGTCAACAATCAAAAGTGTTTTCCAGATCAAAGGAACTTTTCCCTCGCCTGTAGATTTGACCGATATTATGTTTCTATGACGCACTCAATGTTTCTGCCAATAATTTTTTATTACTAATTACATTCGTCATCATGTTTGATATTTTGATAAGAAACAAATTGCTTCTACCAATTTTTATGCCCCTGGGATTGAAACATTTTTTAAAACGTTTCACCCATTTGCTGAAGTGTGCTGAAATTGCGTTTAAAACGCCTGAAGAAATAAATTTTGTTCTAAAAACGTCTTCTCGCTTCTTTCATGTTTTCTACAATTATTTCATCAATTTTTAATGCTTAGCAATTTTCCCGTTATAAATTGCAGCTTCCTCCAGAAAATTACCATTCTCATTTTTACCATCATAACGGAAAATAACGCGCGAACAGGAAAAGGAAAACATCCATTTTGGTTATTGCATGTGAACTAAATTGCTACTTTTGTTTTGCGTTATGGCATTTTTATCTGCGTGGCTGTAAAAGAGGTGAAAATAAGAGGTTAATCATCGTAATCATCATCAGCATCATCGCGCTTTGAATTTCTTCAACCATTTCAAATAAATGCATAATTTTGTCCGGATTAAAACCGTCAATATATACTCATTGAGTCAGTTGTGAAGTTTCTTTCGGAAGGCAGTTTGATTTACCATTACGTAATAATTTATCAATTATTACAAAATTTTTCAATATTTGTAATTTGAGAAAGCATGTGAAAAATGTTTTTTTTTTCAAACAAAAACCTAGCTTATTTATAAACTTGTTTAGCTTTTACTGTAGTCGGTATATTTGAGTGTTTCCTGGAACCATCTGTAAAGAACTTCGAACTTTTCAATTTGTTTCAGCGGATGTTCAAATATCAGGAAAGCGCAATTCAAATCTAACAAATGGAATCATTCAGCTGATTTTGACAATCGACACACTCTATTTTCATTATCTTTACTAATGCCAATTACATTAAAAAAAACTGCCAAATTATTTAATGAAGAGACAACTATAGGTGATCGCTACTTATGATAGTTTGATCTCAGTCAAATTGGAAACGCGTGACTTGAAAGCAATTAAAGGGAGAGTGAAAGGTCAATTCTCATTTGACCCTTTCAGAAGAGCTTCAAGGTGACTCCACTGCCGCTATGTGAGAGTGCGTCAGGCAACCACCACATACATGTACTGATAGAAGGGTCAGCCGAAGAGGTCAAATCAACACAAGAGGTCAACCAAGGTCAACAGCCTGAACTCACCGAAGGTCACGAGAAGCCTAAGGTATAGATATAAGATTCTTCATATTCATACAGGGGTTTGCTATTTCAGAAGATTAGGAAAAACTCAACCCATAATTGCCAAAATTTTCGCTTTATGAACGTCGAGCTTACACAAAGTGATTTTAGGCAGCATTCAGAGCCTAATTTGAGAGAACGCGCGCCAACGTGAACAAAACTTCAGTGAAACCTTACCAAAAATTACCAAAATTGAGTTTTTCATTTATTGTTTTTTTTTGCTCAAAAAGTATCTCTGCATGTGATAATTTTTCAGCAAAGTAAATTTTTTATATTCAATTTTTATAATTTGGAAAATTTTATAATTTGGAAATGTTCGTATTCTCTTTCTGGGTTTGAATGAAGTAATCAACAAGCCCGGTTTGTCTAAGTTTGCGGATTCAAAAATAAAAGAAGACAAGACAAGGAAATAAATGGAACAGACTCATTTCTACAAAACTTTAACCAATTTTACTATAAAGAACGTCTTCCGGCACTTTCGAAAGAGTGGGAAGGAACTATGGAGTAGGTTCTTTTTATTTTCGTGCTATTTTGAGCACCTCAAAGAAACCTTGCAGGGGGTTTAATTTAGAATCATCTTGATTCTCTTTCACTCTTGATTTTGATACCTTTATAGGTATTTTAAGGACACCATTTTGAAGAAAATTTGCTCTTTTAAGCTACTCAATAAAATTAAAAATCATTTTATTTGAGCGGAAAACAAGTTATGGGAATTTACATCAGGAAAATGCGAATATCATACTTTTTTATATAAAGTCAAAATTATTCTCGGAAAAAGTTTTAAATTTTTTGTAAAAAAATATAAACGATTTCCGAGACAAGCTAATTTGTGTAGAGACTTTCAAAGCAAAAGAAAAACATATAAGCTTGAGAAAATTTGTTTGTTCAATCTTGTGTGCTACTCACCATCCTAAATGCGCTTTAAACATTCGTTAACTGCTCGTTTAAAAGTTCGAAGACTTTATCTATGATACTGAAAGCGTGAAACGAATATATATTATGCACACAAAATAGTTCTAAATTGAATGCAGGCCATGTAATTGGTCATATATTTGCTCCAATTGTCGAAGAAAATGACTGATTTTGCCAGACAGTCTCAAATTTTCAAATAAAGAAATTTGATGGATTTTGTATACAACCTGAAAAACAATCATGATCACAGCTCAAATTTTTTTAATTTGTAGTCAGTCATTTTTCACAAACATTTTTGTCCTTTCTAAAGAGTAAACCGCTAATTAAACCGCAAACTATATCGGATACTATTTCGCAAACTATAACGCAAACTTCATCTTTTTGTAATTATATATATTTTTTTCAAGAAATATATATATTTTTTCAAGAATCTACGTGAAAGAATATGAATAGTTTTGTTTTCGTAAACTAATACGCAAGCTTTAACCACTAATATTTGATATCGGCAATGCGAAATATATGTTTTGTCGTCAATTTTTCTTAACCAAAAACTATTTGATTCGGTAGTACGCAAATATAGTTTTGCTGATTGAAAAATAATGCAAGACTATGTTAGACAACAATTAAGTGACAAAAAAATAACAATTCAGAAAAAAAATTTTGATGAGAAAGAAAGGAATCAAAAATTTACACGAGCAGCAAGTCTTCTTGAAAAACGTTTAATCTAACTTATTCGACACTGATTTTCTAATTGTACGGAGAAGATTTAGTTCACTAAATGACTGTGTTTGACATCTAACCAAAGTGTATAAGCTAGCCCGAAAAAGTTACCGAAATGTGTGACTTGCCTAAGGATTTTCGGATCTTTTCTGTTGTACAACCCAAAGTTTATTATTTTGCTATTCTGAAAATTGGATCATAATGTTTGATTTAATTAACAAAAGCGAAGGAAATCTGAAACTTAATTTCCATCGTTAGATCATTCAAAATTTGGTTAAAAAGGCAGCACAACTTGCATGCGTGCACCGTAGCATGCGGCTTTTACCGCAACAAGAGTTGAATTAATTTTTGTTCCGACTTTCGAAACAAAAACAAGACTGCTCGTATATCAGGGCAAAGCCCTGAATGTTCCGAGTGTCCCTTAACTCCTATCAAAAAGTTTTTGGGAAAGGAAAATGTTGAAAACCTATAAATTTTGGACAACATCAAAGTATAAATTTTTGAGTTGTACAAAATTAATACGACCAATTAGCTAGCCTCAATTCAATTTGAAACAATTTTGTTGTGCGAGATAATTCGCCACGCATGAATAATTCGCGTTACGCTCTCAGGATTATGAACAAACTCTTCAAAGCGCGCATAAATTAGTCCATAATGTAGAAAATTTGGCAATTTTCAAACCCCCAGAACTTTACAAAAATAATCGGAGATGAAATACCTTTTTATGTTTGAACTCAGTAAGTCGATATCTTCAATGGGGTATAAAACATTTTTGTTGAAAATCTTTATTTCGATCGGTAAAAATTGACTGCAAAAAAAACACACCGAGCTTAAGTATTCCCTTTTTCTTCAAAAGTCGGAACAATAATGAAAAATTTATGCTCGGGGTGGTTTTTTTTTCTTCAGAAAATTTTGACTTTTTAACTAGACATTTTTTACGGAATTTTAAATTATCATTCGAAAGGTATTGTTGTCTTGGGTTTAAATTTGAAACGATATTTTACCTGTGATCATTTTTCGTGAATTTATGAGGGTTTAAATGTTGCCAATATGCTTTTAACGCGTAAGCGGAGATTTGATCCCTTGGTTGAATAGGCTACTTGTCATATTTTCTACGTTCTGGGAATGAAATCTATCACTTTGTACTTAAAAGACAGCCGGAACATTCAAGGCTTTGCCCTGATACGAGCAGTTTTGTCTCACATTTGTAATCAAAACTCCAACCCGACTGTTAGAGTGAGTAGTTATTTGAATTGCATATGCTAAGCGACACGCATGTAAGTCGCTACGCCCCCTCCTACTCAATAAAATATTTTATTTAGGCATATCAATTAAGAAGTGTCCATTAATTTCTTTGGGTTCTACGAGTTTTCAAAGTATTAATTTAGGTATCAACCTCCGAGGTCGACGAAAACAGCAAGGCTCAACCTTCTCCTGCTGAGGAATTGAGCCAGCCGGGTGAATCGAGTGGCCAGGCTGGAGTAGGAATGGTGAGCAAGGAGTCAGGGGGGTCAAAACAGAGCCAGCAGCAGGGGAACCAGTCATTGCCAACCAGTAACCAACAGACCAACATCAAACATGTGAACAATGTAAGTTTTGCAGTGTTTCAACAATCCCACTATGGTACTAATGGCAGGGCGACAATTCGTAACAGGCGGCAATTCGTAACAAGGCATTGGCTAGTAGATTACACTTGCTCCGCTGCGCTTACATTTCTCTCCTCCCCTCAGGGATTCGACCCCCTGCCGACCAAAAGGGTCCCCTCTTTGTACAATTTTGAGATATCCATTTTGATGACGGACCCAAAAATATTTCTAAAGGCGCTTTAGGCGCAAATGTATACTAATTGTAAGGGGAGGGCGCGCGCCGAAAAAACTCAATTTTTTGGTCAACATTTTCCAAAAAATGTCTAAAAAATCTTTTTTTTTGGCCTGTTTTCAATTAAATTTTGCCTGCGTTTTCAAGAAAAAAAGGTCGACAAAGTTTTTAAATTTTTTTGAAAATCCGCCCCCCCCCCCCCTCATGAAGCGGTTAATGTTTTAGTCTAACAGGTAAGTATTTTTCTTGAAGAATAGAGTAACAGAAAACAACGAATAGCGACGTATTTTTCGTTTTTCGAAGTATTTTAACGATGTGTCGATAATTGGATTGATGTGAATATCTTGTTTGGGAATGGGATTTTTTTTTGATTTTTGATAACTTTATACAGATTTTTCAAAAAAAATCAAGGTGTCTTTAGGTCGTGAATTTCAGAAATTTTTTTTGAAAGGAAATAACACTACGAAAATCCGGGTTATGGTTTTGACCACTGAAAACGGGGAGGCTTTGTCTTCGGGCTTTGTTTTAGTTTTTATCCTTTCTTTCCACGAAAAATCTTATAAAACAATTAATCATATAATGAAGCAGGTAAAATATCACAATTAAGCCCTTTCGGTCATTTTGAACAACATTCAATTATTTCTTAAAAAAATTTCAGTGTCGAGAAAAACCCATTTTATTTATTAATTTTTCTAGGTTGCTTTGGAGCGATTAAAATGAGTGAGCGTGCTTATTAAAAAAATATGAAAGGGCAAGCTGCTTATTTTTGAAGCGCTAAAACTTAGTTTTACTCAAATAAAATTAGTTTCTGAAGTTTCTAAGCGCCTTACTTGAGAATAAATAAACAAACCAGACTGCTCGTATCAGGGTAAAGCCTCAAATGTTCCGACTGCCTCTTAAGGTCTATGGAGCAGTGATGATATGAAAAAAATGAATGTAATGAAACTGAATGTTTTTTTGTTCCTAATTTTTTAACGAAAGTATTGAAATATTTGTGCTCCGGGTGGTTTTTTTAGACAAATTTCGACTTTTCAACTAGGCATTTTTTTTTATACCATTCAAAAGGTTTTGTTGTTTTGAGTCTAAGTTTGAAAAAATATTTTACCTATGATCGTTTTTTGTAAAGTTCTAATCCGCCTTAGAGATTTAATCCGTCCTAGATATAGTTCCAAAATGATTGAACGAAACAATTTTTTGTTTTCATTTTATTTTATTACATTTAATTTTTTCATGTTTATTTTTTGCTCCATAGACTTCAAAAGGCTGTCGGAACATTCAAGGCTTCGCCCTGATACAAACAGTCTCGTTTTAATTTCAGCTTTTTTGCAAAAATCATCCCCCACATGCCATATAAAGTACGAAGTTCTAGATTTCGCTCCTACAAATAAATTATGTCAAGTCTAGTCATTGTATGGAAAAGATCGAAAATCAACCGAACTCCCCGATTTGGAAATTTAACAAGACTGCTCGTATCAGGGCGAAGCCCTGAATGTTCCGACTGCCTTTTAAGGTTTATGGAGCAGCAGTAATAGCATAAAAAAATTAAATGAAATAAAATAAAATGAAATTTTTTTTTCTGTAAAATTTGAAATTTTTTATGAAACTCATCCCCCCACACGCCATATAAAGTACAAAAAGAGAGATTTCGTTCCTTGTAACAAATCAATTATGGCAAATAAGCTTCCTTCAACCAATTTGGATCGATTTCTAAAACGGATTAAATCTCCGCTCACGCGTTAATTGACAAAGATGGCAATTTTTAAACAACCTTACTTTACAAAAACTCATCATAGGTAAAAAGTTTTTATAAATTTAAGCTAGAACAACAATACAGTGCTGATTTAAATTAACCGGACAAAACGCGTTAAACTTGAAATTTAAAACGCGTTTTTCTCAAATTGTGTTGAGTTTAGGTAAAAATTATGACGACAAAACTTGCTTAAATTTTTCGCAGAATTAATATGGTGTAATTTGTTTAGCGAAATTTAGGCCAAAAATTTTACCTCAAAAATGGGTCATTTTGGTTTTTCTTAGTTAATCAAAAATTACGCCGAATATACTCAGTCGATCACAAACATAATTATATCAAAGAGAGCGCCTTACGTAGCCCAACAAAGTTTAAGCAGGGTATATTCTTCAAAACATTGTATTAATTAATTTATTTTTGTTTGATTGACAAAAAACTCGTTTTTACTATTTAAAAGATCAACTTTTTATTTAAAAACAATTTTTAAACGGTTTGCAATTTTTTTGGAAAATATACCCTTCTTAAAGTTTGTTGGGCTACGTAAGGCGCTCTCTTTGGGATAATTATGTCTGTGATCGACTGAGTATATTCGTTGTAATTTTTGATTAACTAAGAAAAACCAAAATGACCCATTTTTGGGGTAAAATTTTTGGCCCGATTTCCGCAAAACAAAATACACCACATTAATTGTTCTAAAAACTTAAGCAAGATTTGTCTTCATAAGTTTTCACCTAAGCTCAACCCAATTTGAGAAAAACGCGTTTTAAATTTCAAGTTTTACGTGTTTTGTCCGGTTAATTTAAATCAACACTTTACCTTTTGAATGATGTTGGAAAAATCCGTCAAAAATAGTTGGTTGAAAATTCGAAACTTGTCTGAAGAAAAAAACCACCCTAGTACAATTATTCCGGTTTTTTCGTTACGAAAGTCGGAAAAATAATCTACTATAAATATCGAAAACGACTCAACGTAAAAAAAAAACTGTTGTTTTTAAATTTCTTTTCACAGCAACTGGCTATCCATGCTAACATTAGTTTTGCTTTTGTTTTCTTTTGTCAACTGCTATTCAGTTTTTGCCTCAACTTGGAGCTGAAACTGATTTGAATTGGGAAATGCAGGAATCTGTCGTCTGATTCAGGAATAGCGAGATCTCTTAATCATTCTAATTATCCCCTTTGACAAAAGGTCGCTTCTGTTTTTTGATCGACTTGTGATCATATTTTAATCAAAGCGTGTCTATAAAATCATATTCTTTTAGCATCAGGAGCAGTGAAAAATGTATTTTGGCAAATAAGTTAACTGAATTCTACATCAAAAAGCTCCTTTTTCGATGAAAACAAGCTTGCGCAATCTTTTAAATGCTTGGAGAAGCACGAAAATTTAAAGTAATCTTCAGTTTTTATTCATTTGTTTTAAATGTTTAGAAATCCAAACAGACAGTTGTGAGTTACCATCAGAATAAAAACAGCTGGGGATTCAAACACTCGCCACCCGACAGCACTCATCACACTTCGCTACTATCGGGCTCATCCTCCACCAACAAACCCAAACAACCCACCGACCAAAAAACTTCGACCCAATCGAAAACGAGCGGAGCTTTGCAAATCAAGAAAGAATCGGATCAGAAATCGAATCCTCGGAATCAGCCTCCGAAGATTCTCACTCACGTTTCGAGTGAACCCGACATCATAGTCGGAACTAACGACGTTCGCGACGACGCTTTGCTTGGCCGAGCAGCGGATCACCGAGAGCATCGGAAGACTCGGTTTGTGACAAACACACGTCTCAGTTCCTCGGTTGACCGACCCGAGAGTCGTTACAATCAGCGGAGGAACCCGGAAACAGGTGTACGAAGTCATCAATTAGAACCGAGCGCACGAGGCGAGAGCGAATTAGCCAGGAGGAGCTCAGCGCAGTCCTTCGACCACTCACAAGCGTCTAATCTCAACTACCAATCGCAGCATTCGAGTACCTTCGCAAACATGTGCCAAATGGGAAATATCAGTCGGAAACGAAGTGCCAAGTTCCTCAAATCTATCGGTACGTACTTGTTGCGGAGTTGATTTTTAATCTATTTTTTTAATGAATTTTTCAATCGAATTTTTTTCATTTTTTCTGACTTTTTAGTTACAGAGAGGGGGTTAAGTAAGTGAAAAATTCTAAAAGAATTCAATTAATTATAACTAAAACAATCTCAGATGAATTAGGTATAAGTCTCTACCTCCGTGGTTTATCTTTTACATAAGTTTCATGAGTGAAAAGACCAGTTTTTCTCTAAAATGAGACCACTTTGTTTGAACTTTTCTGGAATCTTAATCTCGACTGAAAAATCTGCAAAACGATACGGCACTTGATCTAGAAGGTTTCTTTGAGTAACCTTAAATCGGTAGGCAAAAGTAACCTACGCCATAGATCCTTCCCATGCCTTTAGAGGCGGAAAAAATTTTTAGAATTTTAACAAATCTCATCTAAAATTGTAAGACGATACATGGTTAAATTCGCCATTTTTTTCAATATTGAATTTTATTTTGATCTATTATATAATCGTTTGTTCACGTTTGTTCACGCTTGAAATGTTTCAAGGTCACGAGACTGTGGCGGATGTGATCCAGCATACTGCAGATCAGAATGCGGTGGACATCCTGTTGCATGCCATCGACCTCGAGTGCATCTCTGTTCTCAAGGAACTCCTAGACGTGCCTACATTCCTGGTCAGTAGTTCAGATTCTTTCAAAAATCTACAACAAAGTTTCTTAAATTTTTATATACCTCTTTCAAAATGTAATTGATAAAAACCAACTATTTCACTATGTAGCTATACAATTTTTTGATCTTCTTAGTAATTACCCCCTTTCAATAAAGAGGGGGTGTAATTGTTAAGGAATAATCTAGTTGAATTCTCAGTAGATACCATAGGGGGGGTTTCCTAAATAGACATCAATTTACTAGCCTTTTCTTTTAGAAAAAGGTTCCGAAGTGCAATTTTTGTTATCCAAACCATAATATATTCATCGAAAGTATTTCCTCGTTTTCATCAATACACTTCTTTGGTCGACGAGAAAAAGGGCCAAAACATTTGTTATTCCCATCTTTACAGAGAATCCGCTGCTGCTGTGTTTCAATTAATTAGGTGAAAATTTCGACACATGGACTCATCAGCATATAATGGCAAACCGCAACCCCCATTTTACGAAATACCATTTCAAATTTCACTTAAATTTCTGGGCTGCAGAAACTGTTGCATCGCCCTTGCAAACAAATAGGAAGTATTCGGAAATGCTGAAATTGCTATTTTCCTGGTTCTAAATTTTCAAGTTTTGTTTTTGAAGCTCAGTCTAGTCGTTGTATGCAAAAAATCGAAAACTAACCGGACTCCCCGACTTAGAAATTTAATAACGCAACCTTTGCTTTTTAAAATAGTTTAAAATGTGAGCTATACTTTTTAAACTAATGTGGAATTATTCTCGGCTTCATTGAAGATCGCTTTAACTAAAAAGATCGCTGGGCTCAAATTCCCGGGAAAAATTGAATTGTTGAGCAGTTAAAAAAATGTGACTAGCTTTCTCCTGGAAATGAATAACTAAAATAGTGGGAGGTCTTTTCTCATAAAACAATCAATTTTATTGCTTTTTTCAACCTCTGCCTGTGCACTGTTATCTAATAGGAGTGAATAACTACTCCACATAATCACTTTTTCAGTTCATATACCAATACTAATTTGCCCTTACCAAGATCATCAAGTACCCCAAGTCCTCAACAGTACTGATTGGCTTAAGCTGATAGTGCAAATAACCGATGAAATTGCGTGATCCCAAAACACTAATGCAGCAATCTTGCTGTAAAATGAAAAAAAGCAATTTTTTGGTTTTAGCTTAATTAAAAGTTTCAATTTAATACGGAAATCGAAAGAGCCAGTTCTATGGTGAAATTTCGTATTAATTGAATCTAAATTGGATCTAAATTGGCATAAATTTACTAGTTGATTTCGTTTTAACTTATAAGAAGGAAACTTACAATTAGTTTTTCCTACCTTTTTTCCAAGTTTTCCTCCCTTGAGTATTTCTTTTTTTTCGGCTTTACGAACGTTCGGTTGATTTGGTGGTACCAGTCATTATTAACCCATTTCCTCTGGCGTTCAATCAGAATACGTCGCAAATGTCACAACCGTCTGCGAAACAGGAACCATTATGACGTCTTATAAGTTGAAATTTAGTACAAAAAATTTGACGAAAAGAATACTTTTTTTTCACTCAACGTTCTAGCCCTGAAAACTTTAATCAAATTAAATCTGAAAGTTTTTTTCAACTTGTGTTCGTAAAAATTTTTAACTAACTAGTTCCTAAAAAATTCACGTAAAATTTCAAGCAAATTGCCTCCAGCTAAAACCAAGGTTCTTATTGTCCTGAAATTTGTAAAAATTAGCAAAATGATTGTACTCGGTGTTGTTGATTTTTGTCTAGACATATTTTGTCTAGACATAATTTTGACATGTTTACTATCAGGTTGTAATAGATTCGGTGGAGACCAACTTTGATTTGATTTTGATCAATTTCTGGTAATCCACAGGGTTTGAAAAAAAAAGATGGAGAGGGTTGAAAAAATACAATTAGGGCTGGGCGGATTTATGGTTTTTTTCAAGGGGATCGAGCAAGTTTTCAAAAAAAAAAAAAATTTGCAGACCTCTTTTGTCCCCCTCAAAATCAATATAAATTGGCGCCGAAAGTTTTTTTTAAAAATTGGGATACCCAAGCTCGTTAAACAACGATAATAAGACGATGGTATATAGTTGGATTTTAAGACTAGTTAATAAGTATAGGTTGGTTTTAGTAGTTTAAAAGTAATAAGCTTAAGCGTGATTAGACGCCATGCTAAACTAAAGTTAGTCAAAACTTTTCGTTAAAAAGGTTTAATTAGATTATTCAGAATCCACAGAACAATGACTGGCACCTCATGTTCTAAAAAGCGGTTGATCTTTGGTATAAAATCTTCAAAAAAATTAGTCCAATAACTTAATTCAATATGAATGTTGAAATGACACTATTTCTGTTTAAAACTAATTGATGGTACAATCATCTATCTTTTCCACCCAAGGAACAAGAGCAAGATTGAAAAGTAGCAACTTGAAGTATAAATGATTTTATTACATACCACAAGTCATTTTACTCAGTTAATATGAGCACTGCGGGTTTTTGACTTATGTTATTTCAACTTATAAACCATATCTTTGACTTGAGGGTTTAATAATGGGTGTAGTTTGTTTGCAAATTGTTTTTAGGCTAATGCGCGATTTGAGGCGGTCAGTTATAAGTGATAAATTATACCAATTTTAGAAGTGTGACCACAGAAAATTTTTAAACGTCGGTGAAGTGTTTCAGTAGAAAAAAAGTTTTTGAAAGCTTAAGTCGAGTCTCGGCATTTTTTTTCTTTGATTGACGGGTCGATTGAATGTTACCCTCGTACGAGTTCCTGGTGGTGATTCTAAGTTGAACGACTTCAATTGTCCAGATATCATTTCTTGGTCGGAATTAGATTAGTTTTCATCTTTTATCTATGCACAGCAAGTTTGTGTTTTAATCCAATTTGTTCGACAAAAGGTGTTTACCATTTTATGCCATATAGTGTTCGGTGTTCCTCCAAAGTGTGCTTCAAAAGGTGAAAACTTTAACCTTTGCTGGTTTACCGTTCTTGAAGGTTTTAGAGTTTTCATTAGGGTCAGTTCCATTTGTGATTTTTTGTTTATTTGAGCCATAATAATTTATCGTTCCTAGATTGTTATCATCAATCGTCCAATTGAACCTAAACGTGTACAATCTTCCACCGGGCTGAATGTTAGGTTTATTCTCTGATTCTGGAAAATTTCTCCATCTTCCTTGGAAAAAATTGCTTAAACTTTGCCCATTCGAATTTTCATCTTGCAGTTCCGTTAAGTGAAGTGTATTTTTCAAGGAAATTTATTAACAATGTAGCTAAAGTACTTGATGATTTTTGAAATGAGGCAAATTTAAAAACTATCTATACACACTAAGATAAAGCTTTGTGGGCCCCACACAAATGGTAATGGTCCGGCAAAGTCTAGCTCTATCTGCTGGTTTGTTTAGACGATTAAAGAAAAATTATAAGGAGCAGCCTTGTTGCGGATTTTGCTAACAAAGAACAAAATACACCATTTGGCCTCGTATTGAATCGAGGTTTAAGAAATTAGTACACACACAGGAAGTGCAGAAGAATTGATTAAAATTACCATCTGATACAAGAAGTTCTGCTTTTTGTTAAAATGGGAACCTCCAAAAATGTAGTTTAAAAAATCAAACCTGCAAAATTAAATTGGGTGAAATTTAAGCAGAAATCAAATGTGTTTTTTGAAATAAAATCTCGAGAGCAGTTCTACATCGTCGAAAACTGATAAATTATGAGTTTTTTAGTTGGCTTAAAATTAACTGATTTGAAATTTTTTTATGAGATTTAACAAAAACCGTGGAAAAATTTGATTGCCTTGAAACTTATTTAAAAAACAGTTTTCCAAACTCAATCGACATTTGATGAAACTTTTTGTCGAAAAGGGTCAAATATCAATTTGCTCGAAAAAAAATTGAAAGGTAAATTCTTAAGTTTTGGCGTCGGCTGTTGAAAAACTCATTTTTTTTTCGCTTAATTCAATCTTTCAGAATTTAATTTGAAATTATAACAAGACTGCTCGTATCAGGGCGAAGCCCTGAATGTTCCAACTGCCTTTTAAGATTTATGGAGCAGTAATAATATTTAAAAATTCAATGAAATAAAACAAAATCAAAAAAAATTCTAAAATTTGAAATTTTCAATGAAAATCATCCCCCCACAAGCCATACAAAGTACAAAAGGATAAAATTTCGCTCCTTGTAACAAACCAATTATGGCAAATAAGCTTTTTTTAACCAACTTGGAACGATTTCTAAGACGGATTAACTCTCCGCTTACGTGTTAATAGCGCGAATTTTATCGCGCTTTAATTGTCCCAAATTGGTCAAAATGGCCAAAATGGCAATCTTTAAACCCTCATAACTTTACGAAAAATGATCACAGGTGAAATATCTTTTCAAATTTGAACTCAGGACAACAATACTTTTCGAATGATGTAAATTTGAGATTTTATGTAAAAACATCCCCCCACACGTCATATTAAGTACAAAGTGATAGATTTTGCGCCTATTAACAAATCAATTATGGCATAAAAGCATCCTTGAACCAATTTGGAACGATTTCTAAGACGGATTAAATCTCGCTTACGCGTTAATAGCGCGAAATTTATCGCGCGTTAATTGTCCCAAATTGTCTTTAAACCCCCATAATTTTATGAAAAATGATCACAGGTAAAATATCTTTTTAAATTCAAGCTCAGGAAAACAATAGCTTTCGAATGATTAAAAAAATTCCGTCAAAAATGGCTAGTTAAAAAGTCGATATTTGTCTGAAGAAAAAAAACCCACCCCGAGCACAAATATTCCGTTACTTTCGTATCGAAAGTCGGAACAATTACTTTCGTATCGAAAGTCGGAACAATTACTTTGAGCTCTTCTCTGTTTGAGCTCATAAATCGGCTACTCTTGATTAGTTCTTGAGTTTACTGAAATCAAATAGCAGATTTTAGCGCTTTTCAAATTTCAGTTTCTATTTCTTTTAATTAGCATTTACAGATTTCTCCCCGAATAATAACCAGAGATAACCAGTTATAGCCAGACTTTTTGACTTAAATAAGGTTCCATTGAAGGAAACACTGCATTTTTGTTACTATTCTATGATAGCCGTTTTTGGCTGACCGACCCTAACTTTTTTCAGGAGAATAATTCTCCTCAAATATATGTTTTTTCAGGGTCAAAACTCTCATAAAATGCTCAAAAACGTTTATTTTGACTTGTTTTTTCCTCAACAGTTTAAAAATTTGCCGGTTTTGCACTAATTTCTGTCAAACTCGTCAAATTTGAGTGATCTGAAAGAGCTAAGAAAATCATTGTGATCGACATAGCTCAAAAAATTGTCAAAACTTTTTGAAAAAATTGAAATTTTTGAAAAAATACCCCCTCCTCGAGAAAATCCTAGATCCTAGATTTGAGATCAAACTTAAGAAAAACAAATTATAATTTGTTCAGCTATTTGATTTTCGAAAGCAACATATATTTTCATAGTTTTTTCTCATTATAACTAATTTATGCATTACGCATAGTACTAAAAATTTTTGAATGGAAAAGTACGGCGGTTCAAATACTTATTCAATGTGCTTTTGAAAGCTGCTCGAGTTGAACTTGAACCAAAAAGGCAAAACTGACAGGTATTTTGACGTCTTAAGCTATCAATAAAACACCAGAATATCGCAGAGGAAATTACTCGAATGCATTATGTGGAAAGTGGTGACATTTGCTAATTTCCATGTTAGAACTTCAAGTAGGTGTGGAAAAGATAATCAAGTATTTATGTCTGGTGTATATTTATGGTGCAGATGGTCTCGATATACCAATCAATCTCCATCGGAAGTCAAATTGCTCCACGTAATCGTCTCAAGATTTATCAACGCGCTTTTGAATGTCGTGTTCATTATTGATTTCCTGAACCAATTTGAACCAAATTTATTTTTTAAAAGTTTCATCTTTTTCTGGCTTAAAACATGTATGAAGTGTTATATCAAATCGGAAACGTAATTTCAATGTCACCAATAAATCTTTGATCGATTCGCAAAATCTTTGATATATTATATAGTTTTAAGTGTCACGTTACGCTAAATATAAAAAGTATTTATAATCAAGATGGAAAGAGTTGGCCTAAAATTTCTACAGAAAGATGAAAATGGTATGGCTAAAACTCCCTGGTTGGGTTTTCAAATTAGATTGTTTTGGGTAGATAAGGCCATGCCACAACACTTAGCATGTGAAATTTCGACTTTATGGCCGTTCTGGTTGATGAACTTGAGTTGTAAATGGTCTATTTGGAGGGGCCGTAAAAATTTCGATATGAGTCCAGCTGACCGAGCAATGAAGTTACATGAAAAGAAAGACGAAGCGAGCGGACCCTAAACAAAATGACATTAAATACAAGCTTGATACACTCGAGGGAATTTCAAAAGAAATTTTCGCCCATTTTCTCTTTCATCCTACCATCGGAGCTAATGCCACGTGATAAATTTTTGTGACAGTGCAAGAAAAATAACCTGGAAATATGCAAATCACTTGCACGAAATCCGCTTTGCGTAACTTATGAATGCGCTGTTCGGTTTGCATGATTTCGTTTCTCCAGTTGAACAGATTTTTGCTAGCCTGATACAATTACTAACAACGGAAATGAAAAATCGTTGTGAAAGTTACGTGAGAAAATCTAAGATCCGCCCCTGATGCGAACAAAAAATACATCCAAAAACCATGCATAGAATAATATCACTATATTTTATTTTTTGGGGACTTTTTTCTCTGAAAGCGTTTATTGCAATTTTGAAAAAGCTAGAGGGCCAGCAATATTAGTTTTCAAGAAAAATTAACATTATCCTTTTGAAAAGATGGGATAACAATTTAAAACGATGCTAAGTAATGTTATTTCCAATTTTAATCTAAAAAGAGAGATAACAGCGAAGCCAAAACCATTAAAACATCAAATTTCTCTTTGAAAGTGTAGTAGATTGAATATTCATAAGCCGAGCTTGATTTTTAAGTGGCGCGGAAAAAGTATATTTTTAGAACCCTCTAATGGGCCACTCAATTCGGCTTTCGAGCTCGTGCGACGTCTTAGAAAGAGTATACTGCTTATAGCGGGGGGGGGGGGGGGGTTGTTATATTGGTCTAAAATGGCTCCCTAACAAAAATTATCAAGAATCGATAAAAGGGAGACCTTTTGTTAAAACAATATTTCTGGCTAAAGTTGAGCAACATTTTGCAATCATTTTTTAAAAATAGTTTTAGCTTACAAAAGCGGATGTTCATAACTTGTGCAAGGCATTCAATTTGTTTTTTTTCTGATCATACACCTGATAAATAGGGTGTGCGGTACTAAACGCCAAAAAACATCTAATTAATTTTTCGCAGTTTTTTTTAAAATTTGTTTCGTGATGTTGTTTCAGAAGTGCGTGAATGAAACGAGTAAGTCTGGCACCTACCCTCCGGACATGACTCCCCTCATGCTGGCAGCACACAGGAACAACATCGACATCATCCAGCTACTCTTCAAACACGACGCATCCGAAATCAAAAGGTTAACAGCAGGCTCTTTTACACCCCCTCCCCTACCCCCCCCCCTCACTCTCACACACATACGGGGACGCCAAACATACACCAGTTTTATGGCGTAAGCAGTGGTTTTAAAAAAGGTTATATACCAATATAAAATGTGTAAAATGTGTTTGATTTTGATGGATCAGAGTACGGTATATGCTCATTTTCACTTCAAGTTGGTTAAATGGTCGAAATATTCATTCAGTTCAAATATCAATGACGAACGAAACATCAATGACGATAGAAAAATTTGTTCATGATATTTATATACAAAGTTATTTTCCCTTATCAGTTGACTATAATTAAGTGAGTTAAATCAACTATCTCAGCAGGCGCGTATCAAGGAATTTCTCGACGGGAGGGGGGATTTTCAAAAAAAAAATTTGACAATTTTGTCGACTTTTTTAGGTAGACCAAATTGATTTTCTTAGCTTTCTCAAATCACCATAAAGACCCTATATTCATCAGAAGCTCTGCGCCGCAGGTAATTTTTTCAAAAAATTGGCCAAAAAAGGAGTGCACTTTTTGGAAGATTTCGACCAAAAAAATTGCGTTTTGTCGGCTCGCACTCTCCCGTAAAAATTAGTATATATATTAGAAAAATTTCAAAATTTTAGAACAGAAAAATTTACGGTCAGTCAGCCAAAATCGATTATCTCAATGGGTGGTGGAACCCTTGAGAAAAAGGTGTCCGAACAACGCCCCCCCCCCCCTCCTAAATTCCTAAATCCGCTTTTGTTACTCAGTAATTTTCTAAATACACATCCGCCTGTTTTGCAAAAACTATATACGCCTCTGCATGAATACATTTTGTTAAATTATTGACAGATGAGATGTATTTGCCTGTATACATGAATTTTTAACGAAATTTAAAGAAAAGAAAACTCATAAAATCTGGTTTCATCTGGCATTGCAAATTATTTTGTGGGAAAATGTCAAAAAATCCGGATGTTTATTTAAATGTTTGTTTTCCGCGAGTCGTATGTGGCTCCTTCCACAGACAGCTGGCGTTAATTCTTATGATACTTTCAAATTTATAATTCATAACCTCATACTAATTTGAACTTAGCCGCTAAACTTTGCAAGCATTATTTGCCATATGCATGACTAGTCATCCTATGATTCCCTGGAAAGGTTTCAAATCGAGTCCCTTACCCACATAGGCTTAGTAGTTTGATTGCAAGGCCTATAGTTTCAGATTAAATTGTAAAAAGTTGCCAAATATGGTTTTAATGGACGGACTCAAAAAATTCAAAATGGCTGACCTAGAAAATCGCCAGAAGTTAATAAAAGCGGCCCCTCCAACTAAAATTTACACGCGCACGCCGCTGAGCATTAGAATATGCAGGACGATGCTAATCAGACCATTTCTTTTTGTAGAAAACAATTCTTACGAAAATGTATCGAATTTGCTTTTTCATTTAATTTTTGAGACGCTTTGAAAAATTTTTGCACTGTTCTGCAGATTCTGCTAGTCTTTTTTCACCCTACCAAACGACCTATGCCTTGGAAATTTCAATGGGGGTTACTTTTAACTCACTTTTTGGACTTTTCCTTTTTTCTCAAAAACTTTTTGCCAAATCTGATAATAAAATCTTAAGCCTAAGAACAAGCCGTGGAAATCTTGACATTTAAGTCATTTCTGACATTTTAGTCATTTTTCAGAAAGTTCTCCCCAAAATTTCTCTCCAAAACTTGATTAAATTTGGGATTAAGGGTTTAATTGTATTACGGTTGCGGTAACTTTCTCTGCATAAAAAGTTACGCCCTAATTTTTGTAGGAAATTATGGCTTCAAAGAAGTCTTTATTGACATTTTGGTAATTTTTAAGAATTTTTTTTCGAAAACTACAGAATTAAATCTGAGATTCAGGGCTCAATTTCATGCAGGGGGAATTTTTTCTGCATAAGTGCCCACGCGCTAATTTTTGCAGAAAAAATTATGGCTTTAAAAAAGTTTTTATTGACATTTTGGTGAATTTTTAGAATTTTTTTTTCCAAAAAACCGGATTAAATATGAGATTCAGGGCTCAATTTAATGCAGGGGAATTTTCTCTGCATAACTGTGTTGTTGAGCAAAAATTTAAACTTTAGGAAAATTTGAATTTAAACTTTTTTGTGAAAATTTCTGAATCTTCTTATTCTCTCAAAAGTAGGATTAGAAGTAATTTGTTTGAAAATAAGCGAGAACAGTAGTATTGTATCGTGTCCCGGATCTTAAGGGGGGTCCTTCCTAAGGGGGGGGGGGGTCCTCACGTAAAGCAAAATCCTAGGAAAGGGGTCCTTAATTTTTTGGAGGACCCCTATCCTAGGATTTTGTAAACGAAAGAAATTTTCCACGCAAAAAGCAGAAGACCCCCTACTTAGGATCTTGCTAAGTTTAGCTTAACAACAAGGGACACGATACAAAATTCTTTCTAATTCCAATTTTTGGGGTCCTAATTATTGGTCCTGGTTAATAATATGAATCATATTAATTGTTATATTTGTTTCGGGCAAATGAACTTTCGACCTAGTTGAAATTTGTTAGTGAACGGGGAATTGACTTTTATGGTATATAATAAAAATGCGCCGGCCAATTTGGCAGCGTAGCTTAACTGTTGGCAGCAGTAAACTAATTCCTTAACTTGACCTAAATTTTATGGTGAAAAGGCAGTAAATTGAAATTACTCTCAAAAGGCGGCGGCCGTTTCTGGGCAAAATATACCAAATGATAAATTTGACAAATTTTGAAATAAGAAAAATGAAATTAGAGGGAACTTGGTGTACTGAAGATATTGATAATGAACATTTACAATTAAGAGTGTTTTCAACCGCAGAAAAAAACTCATTTTTCAAATTTAGTAATGAACGCTACGTCGTCTTCCTCGAAAGGGCAAAGGAAATTTCAAAGAAAGAATACGAGTTAATTTTCAAAGAACAATTTTATTTGAGTGAGCTTCAACAAATCTCTTGGTGCATTTCTACAAAACAACAGTATGGTACTGTGAGCGATTTGAATTTTGCTGATTATGAAAACGTATTCGACTATTCGTTTGATTTTACCTCAAAAAGGGTTGATAAAGACTTGGAGAGAAAAATCCGTCTATGTTTCAACAAGCTATCAAAATACAAAAAACTTCCGGTGGTTTATTTAATTATTTACCACCGTTATCTTAATGAGACTAAATGGTATTTGCAAGGTCACTTTTATTTCCACTGGCTTGAAATTCAGCAGGTTGGAGAGGTGTTGGAAAAAATAAATAATGAAATTGCAAAAAAGCAGAGTAACTCCTATTGATTTGAAAATAATTCACGAAATTTATACGTCTTTGAAACAAACTTATCCTGATAATTCTAACCGACGCAACTATTTTCTAGCTGCATGTTCTCTGTTTTTTGTTAGTTCTGATAACCTTAACTACGACATTTTAATTAAGTTGAGACCTTATGGTGGCTTGATTGGTATTGATAACTCTTCCTTAGACAAATACTTGAAAAATTCCAAAATTTTACGATTGCACGCTATTTTGCACGATGCGGCCGGATTTATACACGAATTTTATCAACAGGGTACCACGTACTGTTACATGTTGCCCTGGAACTGTAACAACAGCTTATTGGGACATTTGAGTGGAATAGCGTTCTGCCTTTTCATTAAGTTGAAAAAACCAGAAGTTTATCATTTACTAGAATGCTAGGCGAGAGATCAGTTGTGCTTGACGTGGAAGACTTTCGTTACAAGAAAAACGCCTTTGTGGTTAAAGAATTAGCAATAACAACTTCAGACTACAGCGATCGACTCATTTTCCTACCTCCAGTGAATTTCAATATACTACCAAAGCTTGAACAAAAAGCTTACAACTGGTTAACAAATTATTTACACGGTCTCCATTGGGAAAACGGTGATTATCTTTATATAATCTTGAATCAAATACTTCAGAGTTTTGTGCTGAGAAATCCCGGTGCCGTTTTTTACGCTAAAGGAAAAGGAAAGACAGAATTTTTGGCCAAGTACTTGGACCGAAAGATTGAAAACCTAGATGATTTGGGCTGTCCTCGGGTTGAAAACTTATATTTTAAAAATTATCCAAGTTGCAATAAACATATTCCACATTACAACTCCAGGAATCATTGTGCCCTGAAGAAAACCAAGGTTTTTTATGATTGGTTGAAAAATGAACAACAGCGAGAGATCAGCGAAAGTGGAGACATACCTATCACCAAATTCAATGCTTTGTGCGTGGATGACTCCAGAGGGTGATATTAAAATTTCATTAACGAGAATAGAGCGTGTTGATTGCAGTGGCCAAATTGTTCAGAGGAAGGAGCAAATAATAATTTCCGAAGAAGAGTTGTCTACGTTGAAGAGGTTTTTTTCCAGTTATTGATCAATTTGTATACTTCCAGAGATTCAAGTTTATCAGAAATGTTAGCCAGCAAGCGAGGAGTATATCTTCCCCAACTAGTCTTAGTACCCAAACGTCAGCCAGGAGTTCAGATGGATCTAAACAGCAGTGAATTGCCAGATGAGATTAAGACGATTGTGAAAGAGGATACTGTGAAGAAAATAATGTACTACAAAAAAACTGCAAATATCCCAGCAAACTTTGTTTTAGAAATGCATGACATAAATGATAGAGATTTCACACGTTATGAAATTGTTTACTGTTCTCAAAAGTAATTTAATTTTTTACAAGCGTCATTCACAGAGAGAAAAAGTCTAACACAGTCTGTAGAATAAATAGTTTCTCAAATGTCAGAAGCAACAACAGCAGTAGATGAACCTGACGCAACATTAGTAACAGAGTTTGTTTATAACGAGACAAACAGTGAAAAAAAATCATGGAAGTTTTGTAACAATGTAACTTTGCCAAGGTCTGAAGTAGTTTTTGTTGCGCAAATGGTAGTAATTCTAATTTTACTAACTTTCTGCATTCTCAAACTTTCTTTCACTAAATTAAGTTGCGAAGAAACGTCAGTTTGGTTCTCGATTTTATCA